CTTGGGTGCAATCCCAAAACATCTGGAGCACCACTTGAACACCATCGGCATTGACAGAATCACCATCAATCAGTTGCAAAAGGTAGCTTTACTTGAAACAGCTTATATCCTGTAATGATACCTTTGACACCATCAAACAAGACCTGCCTACCCCAGGCCCTTGGGAAGGACTTGATAGGTGGATAAAAATACCAAATCCAGTCTAAACATCTGGCTGACTGTGCGACCAACCATAATAATATTATTATTACTGAAACTTGTATGCTGCCTGACTCTCAACAACTCTGGGTGGCTCACAACAATGGTGTAAGATTGCCACTATGGTGGCAAGATACAAGTCCAAGACGTGATCAAGTCTCTGTGAGGTCAAGCCTGTGAGAGATGCCACCAGGGAGGCTAAGGAAGGGACAAGAAGAGAACCATTAAAAACAAAACAGTCACAAAGGAAAACAATTTTAAATCCGTACTAAGGCATTGCCTTGATCCAGCTAACTGACGTTGGAAGCCTTTGTGTCTCTAATAAAGAAAGGGGCATAAGGGAAAAAATTAGGATGTCTATCTAGGTTAGAGTCCTAGATGGCCTTCTGCAGAGAAGCAAGGTCCTACCAGGCCCAGGACTGGTGTATGCTTTGGCTGGATTCTACCAGCTTGTCACAGCTTCGCTTTGACTGGATTTCCCCTCTTATATCTGGCCCTGTCAGATGGCACTAGCTTCCTGTATGAGTTATCTCACCACAGAGCATCCAAGATTCTTACACCAGGTTACCTTGAATACAAAAGCTGGAATAGCAAACAATATCAGAATGGTCCAGTAAGGCTGTTCTCCCAGCTTACTATTGGCTTTAATGAAAAGTCTACTTACCATCTACAATTAACAGAGAAGAGAATGAGGGCTGGCCAGCTGGATGACCAGGGCCAGGATTTACCAGCCATTGAAAAGGCAAGATTAAAAACAGAGAAGATCTACCCCCCTACCTCCAGCAAGTGTCCCTGAAGCCTTGGCAATTTCTCCTTGGAAAATGCAGCGTTCATCCAGGAGAATGGAGATGTCTTTCACTCCCCGAAAGGAATGGATGCGAGACTTGTTGTAATTCCAGATGCGAATCATGGCTACCTCACATGGCTTTGCAAAGTGCAGGCAAACACAGTGGGACTTTCCTGGAGTGAAGGGAGCTAGCCAGAGGTGCATGTCATCCTGTGTCCGGTTCACTCCATCCAGCAGATTAGTTACAATCCGGGGATCTCTGCCATATGCAGGCAAGATGTTGATATCGGGTGGGTTGGCTGTGATTTTTACGATCTGGATGGGTTCACCTTTCGAGCTAAAGAGTTCGAGTCCATTCAGACCAACGTAGTGTCTGTCTCCCCAGGTTGACCTGATATCAATTTTTAAGTGCTGACCATAAGGCAAGACAGGGATTTTAAAATCGCTCTCATCCTCCAAGTCTAGGCAGTTGTTGCCCTTCTTCTGTGTTGGCAGCCCCTGTGTACTGTCCTTTATCCTGAGCTTCTGATCTTCTTGCCGGCTAATTTTCTGTTGGAGAAACTCATCAAAAATGTCACCCTGGAAATCCATATTGGAGATTCGACCACGATGTGAACGATTGAATTTCAACAACGAATTCCACGATTCCTGCAGCATGTACTCCTGAGAAGTGCCCCACTTGGCCCTTGAGGGCCTTGTACTACCCTTGGCAGGGAGAGGCTCCTCTGAAATGGAGAAATTAGTATCACAGGATGAAGAGAGAAAGGAGGCATCTTTTTAAAGAAAATGTGTAAGTAAAATGAGAGCAGCAAGTAACCAGTAACACTTTCTGAATTCTTCAGCATAATACAATATTAAAAGAACCCCAGAAGAACAGGGGAAGGTCTGATTCTAAGGATTCAGGAAAACTGGCCAAGACCTCACTCTTGCGTTATATTCAGGTGAGACAGGTTGAGGGAACAGCACAGTGACTCCATGCTCTACTATAGTCAACCCTCTATAGAAAAGTCTTTCCAAAGCTTTTGAAAACCAACTCTGCCCACGTTTGGGATCTGGAGTAAACAAACTACAGTGGCAAAATTCAAGAAAATCAGCAACTACATTTTTAACAACCAAGGAGTTAAAAGTTAGTATATGACTGCCCAGGCAAAACCTCACCTGCCACACTACACGTTTGACCAACTGCTTCATTGAGAGACACAAGTTTTAAAAAAAGACAGAAAATCCAGTCATAACAGTTTAACATGCCTCACTGGCTGAAGAAGGACAGGTATCCTCCATGCAGTATAACAAGACTTGCTAGAAAAATATCTCCTGGCAAGCTCCCCATTTCCATCATTGAGAAGATTTTCTCCACGAATGGAGATCAGTAGATCTTTATGTCCCCAGCAGACACATGGAAGGCTTTCTATAGTAGGAGCCTCCAGTGTGGAGAATTTATAACAGCAGTCATACTGTCTGTAAGCCTGACAGCCACGCTATGTGTTAGGCAGATACTGAGGATATCACTCCAAAAGTGGGTGAGCCCAAGCTTCCTTTTAGGAGATTTAGGAATTCCAAGGAATGAAATGGATTTCTTAAGAATTTGCAAGCCTTGAAGCACCTATGTTGTCCTTTAACCTCCCCCAAACCCTCCACATGCAAAAAATATGTAGGTAGAAAATTCTGCAGGTCACAAAAGTGATGCTTTTTGCATCCTTGCTCTAAAGAGGGCTGGTGTGTTATAGGAACTGTCTGAATTGTCCTTCATTGCGTGATCCAACAGTAAGCGAACTGTGAAGGAAGAGGGAAAGAAGCAGAATGCCATTTTTCACTTGTGGGAAACAGTTAAATGCTGTCTAAAACGTAGCAGTTTTGATGTGGCAAGCTTAGCCTCTCCTCCCCCGCCCCCACCATACTTGCTGCTGACAAAACCAATGCTAATCTTCTTGCAAGGCCCAGCGATCACAGAACATTTCTGGTGCCTTCTCAGCCATATGAGCTGTAGAGAGATGAGTGATGAGGGATGTTTTCATTTTCCAGTGATTTAAGCCAAGACTGATGGAACAGGGAGGGAAGCATAGAGCTACGTATATAAACAATCATGTGCTCTTGTGTTCTAAAACCCTATACTACAGGTAGCCACTAAGGATTAAAAAATAGTCCAGTCCTGGTCTAAGTGGACAGAAAACCTATTCTGCTCAAAGTGTAGGTGATTGGACAATTCCTGGAAGATCTGAGAGGTCATCAGCTCTTACCTTTGTCAAGCATGGCTTCCTCTCTACATAAGATGTGGTTGAATTCTTCCTTCTCTTTCTCTCTAAGATCTTGAACAGGGGGAAGCAGCTCAGATGTACTACTGTTTTTGTAAAGCAGTGGTTTCAAAAAGTCCAAATCAGGGATGGGCTCCTGAGTCTCCTCTGAGGGTCTCTCACCTGCATCTGGGGCCTCATTGTTGGATTGCTTTTGCTCAGTTGGACAGAGATGAGGACTCCTATCAGTTGTTTTTAGGCAGCCCCTCTTAATGCTCTCTGAAGGCAGCTGAACCTGTAGCCCCAAAGGGGGCAGTTTTTGCTTTTCAGAGCTAACTTGTATCTCCCCTTTTGCCTCAGGAGAGGACAGAATACTAGGGGAAGTGAAGCTGGGTGACTGAGAACGTTCTTCCATTTTCTCACTCAGCGAACTGTCCTCCTCAGGGGAGATATACTTTGTGGTCTCCAGTGAGACAAGGCTGCTGATGTTTGCCCTGGCATTTAGGTTTGATTGGAGACAATTTTCCCATTTGTCAGGATCACTGGTTCTCTCCGTTTCTTCAAGGCAGTTTTCTTTCATGGAAAGCTTCCAGTTGTCAAGCTCCTCACTCAAATCTGCAGGAGCCCAACCTTTTTCTGCCCTTCCCTTTGGAGGAAGGGGAATGTTTGTTGGGAGATCAATGGAGATGCAGCTGCTGCCATCAGAATCATGAGCTAAGCAGCCCTTCTGCAGCTCCCCAGCAAATATTAAACACCCATCAACATATACAATGATACTTCTTGCTCCGATGTTCAGATCCTGATGAGACACAGAAAGATGTTTTGATGGCCAAGCAAAAGCAAACCTTCCCGAAACCTCCCAAATTGTAACGCACAGAGAAGCATACTAACTTGGTAGAAAACTGGAGAGGCCCCTGCTGATATCTGAGGAATCAAATGTACAATATGCTGAGGAACTGGGTTAAAAAATGGGCAGGCAAGTGCTCACCTGGCTCTGAGTTTGGTGCTGCATACTGGAAGACCTAGCAGCGTGGGTGTGTGCCATTTACAACCTTTCCCTAGTGTGGTAACCTTACCAAAAGTTGCTCCTCCAAGTTCCTTGCTCAGAAGAGGATGCCAGAAAGTAAAATGGTGACCCCACCCACTTCTGGCTCTGCTCCTGGCTAACACTGGCACGTAATGAGGCCCCCCAACAGATTACTCTGAGCAGGAATAAGATGGTTTATTTTGGGTTTGCACTGTAAGAATAAGCCTCAACCTGGCTAGCACAGCCGCCTCTCCTAATGTGACCTAATGGGGAATCCATTTTGGGTTCATGGCATCCTAAACTCTGCTTAGTCTTAGCTTCATATATTGTGGAGGAGAGCTGGATTTTTTTCAACAAACCATTTCATTCTGGGCTGAAGAACTGACCACCCTCCCTTACTTTTCTGTGTTCCATTGCCATTCCCTTGAGTCTTCCACTCACTGCCCAAGATCTGTCTGAAGTTAGGCTCCCTCCTCCATACATGTGGAGAGGTCACTCATCAGCCCCAAAGATGCAAGACTGTGCTCCCGAAGTCAGAGTGCTTCTGATTACAGTAAAACAAAATGCCATTTGCAAACATGACAACTCCATGGGTTTCACATTTGGTGCAACAGCCTTTTCTGCTGGAGCCCCCGCCCTTTGGAATATCTAGCCCCCGGAGGTGAGATTGGCCCCTTCACTCCTGGCTTTCCAGAGAGATCTAAAGACCTGGCTCTGCCACTTGGCCTGGGGTGGGGAGGGAAGTCACCAATTGTGGGGATGGCTAGCCTCTTAGAGGCCTGTCGTCTGCAGCTCTGGTAACCATCAGCCTCTTGGACCTTTTCTTATTTGGTAATGTTTTGTATGGTTTTATGTTTTATATATTTATTGTTTTAATGGATTTTGTGAGCCGCCCAGAGTCCCCCATTAGGGGGAGATGGGCAGAGATAAATTTAATAAACAAACAAACAAACAAGAACACCTCTTTCTAGGAGTGCATTTGAGAACAAGTCAAAAAGGATCGGGATTTGCTTCTCCCTAATCCAGCTTGGAAAATCCTCTTTCCCTCAATACCTTGTACAGTAAACAAAGCAGGCTCTCTACACAGACAATGTCAGAATCAGGGAAGCAGTACAATCTTTGGGGGGATCTGGCTTTTGTTCATAAAATATGGGCCAACCCAGCTCCACACACAGGCTCAGCGTCTTATCAATGTCAGCAAAGCAGCGCATGGGCCAGCTGGAATTCCAAAACTGGAGGGGAAGCCTTCCAAAAGCGAACTCAGTGGCCACAGGATGCAGGCTGGCACGAGGCTTCCTAAATGATAGCTGCACGTGAACAGACCACCCCATACAAAAACACATCATTCCCATTTAGCAGCAGCAGCAGCAGCAGCAGCAGCAGCAGCAGCAGCAATGTAACGTTTCAACCTTTGATCTTGTTTCCAATATAGAATCAGAATCACTTCAACCTACTGTTAGAATTAATCCAAATAAAAGAAAGCAGTTCCCTCAGTCATGGCTGCTTTGCCCCCTCCATTCTCCTTCCCCTATTCTAGACACTGGAACACCAGTTAGCTCCTACTAAGCATGGAAAGGCAAAGCTCAGATGCCCAAGATCAGAGCAGTCACTTACACCATTAACAGTAGAGTTGTAATTCCAGATCCTGATTCTGGATAGGCCAAAGTCTCCTGACAGGCTGGCATTTCGGACAATGAAGTACAGCTGCACCGGAGGATGGAAGAGGCATGACCAGGGGAGAAGGTCTTTGGGGACCTACAACACAAGGAAGCTGATGGTTGGCCTGTCACCCTGGAGACAAAGAGCAACATTGACTCTGGGGGCACTGAAAGATGGCTGAGAGAGGAAAGGCAACACACTCCTGAGGACATGTAGATTTGCTGTGTCTCTGAGCAAGCAGAGAATCTGACTGAAAGTGTGATGGCTGTTCCACAGCTGACCTGTTCAGCCTAAGCCGCTTTTGTGCTTGTAAGAATGGCAGCAGGATACCAGTGCCGGGATTAGGGGGGAGGCGGGATTTCTGATCACCTCCTTTCTCCTATGAAGGAGTCAGTTGGCCTACAAAAAGTTCCTAAGTTTACTGCAGTAGAACATGACAATTCAAACTTTGATCATACTTTTTTCAGAATTCCAGGACTTTAAGCGAGAAGATCATATTGTTTGTGGATGCTTACAGCCTCACTTGCTTCAGCCTCTATTTATCTGCCATTCTCATGTTCATTATTAAAACTGCCTGCTGAGTCCATACTTGCCCATCCCTGTGTAGTTCACAGGTCCTGGAACCTGGCTGAGATATTTCATTCTCTGCAACAGGTAGCGAAGCCAGGAGCTTTGATTCCAAAGCAACCACAGCAGCCCTGAGTCATTACCTGAGCAGAAGAAACAGAAACCTACATCCCACCAAGGGCCAAAGGAACCAGAGAGGTGGGAGGCTGTATAAGAATCCAGGAACAGATCCAACTTGTGTGCCAGCTGCATCCATTCCTGGACAGGGAGACCTTCCTTATAGTCACTTGTGCCTTGCTCGCTTTGTGTGAGGACTACTGCAATGCGCTCTACCCTTGAAGACCACTTGGAAGCTGCAGTTGATCTGGAATGTGGTAGAGTCTCTTTATGCCCATGTTACCCCTCTGCTCCTTGAGCCACATTGGTTACCAATAGGCTTCTGGTGCAATTCAAGGTTGCTGGTTATCACTTATAAAGCCCCACACAGTTTCTGCCTGTATTGTACGTTCAGACAGCATTGGTACACTCCAGGTCCTATCAGTTAAGCAGTGCCACCTAGCAGGACCCAGGAAGCGTGCCTTCTCTCTCGTAGCACCTGCTTTCTGGAACAGCATTTTCCCAGAGATTTGAACTGCCCATATCCTGCCTGCCTGCCTTAGAGGAGCCTTGAAAGCCTGGCTCTTCCCCCAGGTCTTGTGCCAGGGCAGTTCAGGTCCCTTTAGGTTGGGTGCTGTGCAGGAAAGAGAATTTTTATTGCTCCCTCTGGGCAACTATCACCTTCCTTGATATTGTGATGTTTCTTCCTTTTTTAATTTGTAAGCCATCCAGTCATTCTGGAGCCCCAGAAATGTTTTAGAAATAAACAACCCTGGGGACACCCTCTTCAGAAACCTGTGTGCAAAAATGTGCCTGCTGGTCCTTGAATGGCCAGTTGAAAATCAACAATGGGAGGCTTACATTTGCGCTTCGGTTAACCAAGCGGCCCAGCTCTCCAGGTGGATCCGCATGCCGGATGTCTACATCATGAGGCGACACAAACACTCTCTGAAAGTTCAAATCAAAGAACTCCACTTCTGTCAGACCCACACGGGCTGCATCTCCCCAGTTGGAGAGGATCTCTATAGTAATATAGATGGCATCCCGGACCTCCTCCTGCAATTCCACATGGTCCTGAAAAGAAAAACTCAGGACATCACTATGGACACTGATCTCAAACAGACCTGAATGTGGCAGGCATGAAAGTACCAAAGGGACCAGGAGCGACCCAGACGGATCTTGCCTTGTGTCATATAAGGGATGGGCCCATGACTCAAGCAAGCCTTCCTCTTCAGTCCAACATCATGCATGGAGCATAAGTATTCTGATCCCACATTTCTGCTTTCATAGTCTACTCATGACATGCTGAAATACCCTTTTTCCTGAGGAAAGCTGTTTGGGATTCCTGCCCTCTTTAGGACCATCCAACACATTCTGATTGTTACTAAATAACGTAATAGGGATGAAGATGAGGAACACTGCATTTGAAAGTTGTGACTTCAGTGCTCTTAAGCGTCTTGTTTCCTACCAGAACAGGAAACTCTAGCTGTCCAAGCCCAAAGCTGCAGGGCCACAGCAGACAGACTGATTCTCGATCTTTTGCAGAGCTTTCACAAGTTTCTTCTGTTGCCTAAACAGGAAGTGAAACGCTAAAGAGATCACAGGCAAAAAAGCAGCAAAGTCAGCACTTATTTCTTTTAACTGGAAGGGCCATTGCTTTGAACCTGTTCAGACACTCGGAAGCTCCCAAGACAAGGACTTTTAGCGAGGATGGAGGATGAGGTAGCAGAGCTGACAGCTGTGAACAATCCATCCCCGCTTTTCTTAATGCCAAGACATTAAGCAGGACCATCAGCAACTTAAAGGAGAGAATATGACTCCATCAGTTTTATTGATGAGGAATATTGGTGCAAGATTGCAAAATACTGAATGCTATAAACCAAGAACTAGCAAGCTGAGATGCTATTCCTTGTGTTGCTCAGAGCACAAGGTTCACACTTCCCTATGAAAACACTGGCACTTTGTCTCAAAATTTTATAAAGAACCTTGCTCAGTCTCCAAATTCCCTTTTTTGCCATCCCACATCCCAACCTACGGCCTCCACAGACACCCTTTCCGGGTGAAGATACTTGCACCTACGTTGCCTTCTGGATACTCCAGTAATCAGATGCAGTGAAGAGAGCAAGATTAGCATGGGAATCCATTTGACATTTCCATGCAGAGATAAAACAGCATTGCCTCAGAAGTGCCCCTTCACCTTGCACCTGAGAATGGATTCAAAAGATTCAAAGCTGCCACTTGTTTCCCAGAAGTCCAATCTGTCCCAGGACTGTGGAGACAACTCTGTCCTCCTGCTGCTTTTGGGGAAGGTCTGCTGTTGCAGAACCAGATGCTAGCAGCGACTGCACAGAAGGGAAAGAAAGGACATGCTCACAGGAGAGCTTCACTCTCCAGAGAATGCTGGGGGCCAGTCTTGAACTGAGAGCTTAGGCTATCCACAGAACTTTCACGCCCTACAGAGACTATTATATACTTCAGTTCAAGCAGTCAATGTCCCTCACCAAGGAGTGTTGGCAGAGAACATTCTACTTGTTCCCCCTTGCATAGAAACCCTCTTTGGATTGACATTCAGCAGCTAGATGATTCTGGACACGGATTCTACAGTTATCAGCATGGGCAAATTTTAAAAGACTGATAGGATTCTGCCATGGCCACATGAGAACTGGCTGCTTGTACACATGGGACCTTTCTTTTCAGGAATGGAAAAGGTTCAGTCTCACCTCCAGGCAAGCATGAAGAGCTTCTCTTCTTTGAAAGTTACTACACTACTCTCTTCCTGTCACCAACAGCTTCTAAAAAATGTGACTGAAGTAAAACCATTAAAAGTGAACAAATGAGTGAATGGGTATTCTGTCATCTCTTTTAAGAGAGATTTCTGTGCTTTCAGCCCTTACAGATCAAGTATCCACTGAGCAAATGTTAAATGACAGACTACAAAGAGGAGACAGGAGAATTGTTCCTTAAGAAAATTAGCCTCTATTTCATCGTCAGCAAGAAAAAAATTCTAGGAAGTCAAGGAAAAGAAAGCCTTTACTTAATATTGGACAGAGCACATGGTCCATTCCAAGGCAAAGGTTTGCAAAGCAACATTTTGGAAGAACATCCCGGGTTTCTCAGATCCCTCTGTGCCGCGGCTAAATTACCGGTTTCCATGGCAGTGGCCAGACCCAGTGGGGAAGGCAACGGCCCCAGCCACTGGAGAGCCATGGCTCTCTTTGAAAAAGACATTCCCCCATGCTACTGACCTCGGCAAAGTGTGCTTGCTTCAGCTCAGCACCTGTGAAGCCAGCAGAAACCTCCAGCTGCCTACAGAGCAGCTCCTTTTGTAGTGTCTCATTTTCTGCTTCCATAGCTTTGAGGACAACAGAAGCAGCATATGCTGGATCCTTCTTCTCACACACATTTTTTCGAATAGCTGAGAGTGGTCTTTCTGATCGGCTTATTGGTCCTGACATCCAAAAGAAGCAGAAAATACTTTTTGACCACTTAGTCAGAGGGAAGCAAGTTGGGCCTGAAACATCCCCACACTAAGGTTATAAAGGCTCCTGAGTCACAGGAGAGCAAACAAGAGAGTGTAACAAGAGCAAAACTCAGTGGCACCTTCTCCTGCATTCTGCGTAAGGCAGAATGCAAACTGTTTGTCTTCTCCAAGGATGTCGGAAAGATAATACAGCCTCACCAAGTGAAAGACTGTGGGGTGTGCAGACCCCAAGAAGCCTCCTGTGTTCCTCCCACAAAATTGGTCAAGCAAGACCTGATGATTCCAGGCAGCAATATTTCAAGAGCAGCAGAAGAATTAAGATGGAGAACGTAAGGATTCAACGGGCCGTAGCTGGGCAAATGTAGGTAGGTCAGGTAGGGGAACAGCTTTATTAAAGGAGCCTTTAAGGGGGTATGAAAAGCAGAATGAATAGAATCAGGAAATATTTCAGTGATGTTAAGTTTATGCTGAACCATGCTTGTGCACCAAGAAAAATGAGGAGAGTGAAAGGCAAGGGAATAGAAGAAACAGTAGAGATCAAAATGCCAATTAACAGGAAGAAAATTGAGTAAAATGGCACATTTGGATGGCCAAAGGCAGCTTTTCAAACTAATGTTCCCAAACACAGCTGCCACCCTAAGGGCCTCACATCTACGTCTAAGGAAACTGGCCATCTTAATTCAGAGAGTCACACTGGGTACAATCATCTCTTTCTTTCACTTCTTTCTGGGAGAGAGTTTGCTGCCTAACTAATAAGGTCTCCAGGGGCTACCAGCATCAGAGAACTAATATGAGTGTCAACAAACAGCATTCTGAGCATGGCCCTGTTGACAGAAGGAAAAAATGGGCATGTTTCTGCTGTCCCCTTTCACCTCTGCAGCTTCTGTTCTCCTGTCAAGCTCTTAAAGGAGCCACTTAGAAACAACATCTCTCTTACTGGAGGGGGCTCCTTCCTGTTCCTCCAGGCACAGGGGTGCAGCCACTGGGCTCGTGGGTTTGATGGGAATGTAGGTTTCAGCAGTGCCCTTCCTTTTTGCAGAGAGACTTTGCTCCTTCTTAACTCCTGCAGAAAGAACAGACACCAGGATCAGCTGCAGTGATCGATAAGGAACTTATTCTGGAGTGACAAACATCAAGCATAGGATTCCCAAGGCATCTTTTAGACCAGTGTTTCTCAACCTTGGCAACTTGAAGATGTGTGGACTTCAACTCCCAGAATTCCCCAGCCAGCATGGCTAGCCGGGGAATTTCGGGGGGGGAAGTCCACACATCTTCAAGTTGCCAAGGTTGAGAAACACTGGTCTAAAAGATGCCTTGGGAATCCTATGCTTGATGTTTGTCACTCCAGAATAAGTTCCTTATCGATCACTGCAGCTGATCCTGGTGTCTGTTCTTTCTGCAGGAGTTAAGAAGGAGCAAAGTCTCTCTGCAAAAAGGAAGGGCACTGCTGAACCCTCCACCCCCATCAAGCCCACGAGCCCAGTGGCTGCACCCCTGTGCCTGGAGGAACAGGAAGGAGCCCCCTCCA